TGTACCACGAAGCGTACGATCCTCTGGCACCAGCGCGTTTTGGTGTCGGGTGCCCAGATCTTAAAATCACTCGAGGGTGGCCACCAGACATGGGAGGCTCCTGCTCCCAGCCCGGCTCACCCCTCTGCTCCCGTGCGCCCGGTGTCCCTGGGGAGGGATTTCACCCCACAAACTGCCCAGCTCAGCACTGCCTTCTCCTCCCCACCTCCCTCCCCAGGTGCGAGGTGCGGCCAGGACCTGAGTTCCTCACCCGATCCTACCTCTTCTACGCCAACCGCCTCTTCAAGGCTTACCAGTTCTACTACTGGGACCCCTCCTGCCGCGACCCCTCCTACTCGCTGGTCATCAAGGGCAAGCTCCGGCTGCGCCAGGCCTCCTGGATCACCCGCGGGGCCACCGAGGCGGGCTATTACCTCCATAAAGTCACAGCCAGAAAGCCATGCGGGAGGTGGCCTCTTGGATCAACCAGACCTCCGGGGAGGGCTGCAGCGGGTTCCTGCCCCCCGGGCGCACCTGGGCTCCCGGAGCCCTCTACGAACTGCTGAGCGCCAAGACCGAGCGCGACTGCACGGCCGCCTTGGGCTTCGCCATGCACGAGCTGAGCCTGGTGCGGGTGGAGCAGCACTACCAGCCCTTGCTGCAGCCACAGCAGAGCGGGAGCCGGCTGGTGGAGGAGCTGTACTTGGGGGACATTCACACCGAGTGGCTGGAGAGGCTCCACTACCGACCCACCGGTTATCAGCGACCTATGCAGAGCGCCGTGGTAAGGATGATGCCGTTACGTGGTCCCTTTGTCGGTTCATGGGCTTTGCCAAGCACGTGTGGTTTCTTCACTGTTAAAATACCACCTGCCTCCCCTTAGCCCCCTCGCTGTCCCGCGGACACGCGGGTGGGGTGTGGGGCTGTACGTGCGGGTTCCCTGGGGGCTGCCAGGTGCTCTGCAGCACGTGGGACTCACCCTCTCCCATACCGAGCGACCAGAACTGGGCTGGGTGGAAGCTCAGCAAAACCAGCATCAGAAACAAGCCGTGCTGGCATGGGGCTGGAGTTAGTGGCTTTCAGTTGGCTCAGTTTTTTCCTAGGAAATGCAGTTTCCTAGTTGCCCACACCGAAGACAGTGAAAGCTTTGGGCTGTGCAGCAGTAGAGGCTGCCTGCGCTGTTGTTTGCCCTCCTCCCCTCTCTTCTGCTCTTTGCTCCAGGTTGAGAGAGGAGCGAGGAAGCAGCATTTGCCATTAAATCATTAGTCCTTGCTGTAATGCCATTAGAAGAGGAAGTTGCCCTGAATACAATTATGTTATTACACAGAAATCAAACTTTCATTTTTACATAAATAAAACTGAACAGGAGACTTGATTGCCTTTTATTTTATATTATTTTATTTTGCAGCAGGTTAGTTTATAACCAGGAAAGCCCATTTCTATCTGAACCATAGCTAATCAAATGCAAAAATGATTGAGCAGTGAGATGGGGTGAAAAAACCTCTCTGAACTTTACCACATAGAACTGAGGTAACTGAAAAAAATTATTTTGGGGGCAGCATTTCCCCACACCCTGAACTACACCAAGTGAACTCGGAAAAACACAGAGCAGCACCCCTCTCCCCCTCCAATGTAACATTCTCGAATTGGTTAAACTTGTATTATCTTGGGCCAAAACCATATATATCTGAGCAAAACCAGATGGTAAACATAAACACTTTTAAAAGTTAATTAAAAACTAAACTTAAAGATACTGAAATCCACTCTCTGAATATAGCACGGTAATTAATCAGCTAACAGCTCTCCAATGGACCAGCACATGGTGTCACCACTTGGTGATAATTAGAAGCTGCCATACATTAGAAATAACTTCACACGATTGATTTAAGCAAGTAAGATTTTTGGCTCCATGTCTGCAGTGATAATTTTATGGGGCACAGGATTTTTCTTTTTTTCTTTTTTTCTGAACCAACATCCATTTGCTTGCAGTAGTGAGAGTCACACAGCTATGTTAGGAATTATTTTTTAACCCTCTTTATGAAAATAACACTCTTTTTTCCCTTAAATTTATATCTGTTTTAAAGAAACCCATTCTCCCCAAATTACCTTTCATTATCAAAGAATTTCCTGTCTAAGGAGAGCATATATATTTGCCAACTTCTGGGATTATTTAGCCGTAATGTACTGTGTACTGTCAGCACTCATTAACGTGACAGTAGCAGTAAAGCAAGCTGAAAATGACTAAATTACAGTAGGCTCCAATCAACCCGCATGTAAATTACCCACCCTACAGTTAACTACTGAGTTATTTAACCTTGTTGCTTGTGACAGCTCAGTAAAGATTAGCTCGTATCCTAGAAAACGATATAATGTTCAAACCGTGGTTATTTAAAAATAAATCATTTGTGATATATGAAGTATAGGAAAAAGTTCCAAGCTGCACAAAAAACCTCCTGGCGCTGGATCGGCTGCGGGACTGGTTTGGCTCAGAGCTCTGCACGAAGCACAGGCAGAGAACCAAAGGTCAGGTCCTGCTTTCGGAGGGGGTCCTTGTCCTCTCCAATGCGATGCCCGTTCTGGCTGCTCGGTGCAAACCCGTGTCCCTCCTTCCCAGCCTCACCGCTCCCGGTGACCAGCAAACGCAGCCGCGAGAGCATGGGCAGGGGTCTGTGCGGGGGCACAGGAAGGGCTTGAGGGGGAAGCAGAACTTTTGCTTTTGGCCGTCCTGGAGGTGCTGCCACCACCGTGATGCCGTACAGCCAGCGAAGCCTCCCTGCAGTTGGGTTCCACAGCCTTTTCCATTGCTGAAACGCATGCGCGGGTTTTTCCCGAATCTGTGCAGAGATGCGCTTGGTGGGCTGACTTCTCCCAGCACCCTCATCCTCCCCCATGGGTAAGCGCAGCAGGTTGCAGGGGAAAACTCGCAGGGAGCAAGCCTGATGTCCCGAGGGAGCGTTCTCTGCCCTTTCGGCAGCTCTGCCCATGCCCTGTCCTCGCTGCAGCCTGTCCTGAGCGGCCCGGTGCAGGGCAGAGCTCAGCCTCCAGCACCACCAGCCCTCTCCGTCCTTCCCCGTGTACCAGAATAGCCAAGAGCCAGGGCAGCACTTTATCTCTCTTAATCTGCTCGGGTGTCTCAGGCCAAGTTCATGCAGTTGAACACTCCGGTGCAGCACAGGGGAGTTTGACCTTGTTAAATGTTCTGAAAGGGTTTTTTGCTTATCAGGTTACAAAAACATTTTTTTTTTTGTCTTCTGCAGCACCATGTGCATCCTTGCCCAGCCTGTGGGATCATCTACAGAGCCGACGAGCACCACCCGCCCATCCTGCCCGCCAGAGCCCAGCTGCCCATGCGGCTCAGCGGCAGCTGGGTGAGCACGCACTGCGAGGTCCGTCCTGCCGTGCTCTTCCTCACCCGCTACTTCATATTCCACGGCAACAACCACACCTGGGAAGGGTATTACTATCACTACTCCGACCCGCTCTGCAAACAGCCGACTTTCACCATCTACGCATCCGGGCATTACACCCAAGGCATCCCCTCCTCCAAAGTGAGAGGTGGGACAGAGCTGGCTTTCAAAGTCACGCAGGCTCGGGTGACGCCCATGGACCAGGTGACAGTGATGATGCTGAACTCCTCAGAACCTGGAAGCTGTGGGCTGACGAGCTCCTGGAGCGCTGGGGTGGAGCAGGATATAACACCCACAAATGGCTGTTTGGCTTTGGGCATCAAGCTGCCCCACACTGAGTACGAACTTTTCAAAACGGAGCAAGACACGAAGGACCGCAGCCTGCTGTACATCGGCGAAAGGCCCACGGATGGATCCAGTCCCGACAGCCCCAACAAGCGACCCACGTCCTATCAGGCACCTCTGATTCAGTGTGCTGGAGCGCCAGAGGAATTCTCTAACTATCTTAGTCTGAAACACTTGGGAAGAAAGGACTCTAATGGGAATGAAGCACTAAAACCTCTGCCTGTGGCCTTTCTATTGTTTATAGCACTTCTGTGTTTGAGATGGGACTAGTTATCTATTCAGGTACAGCACAGAATTCAGAGTCGTGGTGCTAGTGTGATTTTTATATCCTGCAAATGAGCACATCTGGAATCAGTTTTACTCAGATTTGGAAACACTTTTTAAAAACACTCAACAACAGTGAACGAAGCCAAGAAGATATGCCTGACTACATACTGTTTGTCCTGTGGCTTTATTGCCTAATCTCCCCTCCTCTGCGCATACCGATTTAATGTAGTGACATGGATGCGCTGCACATGGCAATAGATAATTTAGCAATGTGAGGTGGGGGGGGAGGGACATCAATTACCATTGCTGCTTTGAGCTTTTGACATTGCTAAGATTTAATCAAGAGCTTGATTCAGATGTAATTCAAACATCCAAGGTGTCAGCTGCTGAGTTTCTTTGAGGTTAAGTTGCCTCTCATGATACTCCTTATTGCTGTTCCTGCAAATTGAATCTGCGGAGTCAGGCAGCAGCAGATAAACAGTCAGCAAGTGCTCTTGGTAAGGGCACCGTTAATCACGCCCTTCTCAGTTTACAGACATTTTCTACGGTTTTTGTGTGTACGTACGCACACAAAAATGCGACACACAATCAACTTACGTGCATACAAACAGCAGCCCTCACAGAGCTTCACCTCCACAGACGGTTATGCCTGACCCTGGTCACAAAGGAAGACACAGTAAATGGAAAAGTCTTCTGTGCACAACTGCTCCAACGTTCAGCATCACCTAGCTGCAGACACCGCATCCTCGCTGCATTATTCGGCTTTTCCAGTGCAGTACTGGCCTGTGCTTTGGTACACCAGCAACGCCCCATGTTCCAGCAGGCAACGGCACCACCAGGCAATCGCGACTCCCACTCACCAGGCACCGAGCAAAGCAAAAGATCTCTTACAAGTCTTCTCAGGCCGTATATTTTCGCTGTCTCCTTTTTAGAAAAGTGTACTGGCATCGCAGTTGTTAATCCAGCTCTCCTTTCAATCCGAATGTCACTGCAGCCGCACTCCTGTAAAGACGTTTTATAAACCTGCCTCTGGTGAACGATGGGCTGAGGAGACACTCGAGTCAGCACAGTCAGGTCAGACTGATTTCTACTGACAAGAAGAAATTACATTCCCTGTCTGCTGCAGCTCAGAAGCTATCACTTACTTGGAGATGACCTCCTCTCAGTAGCTAAATCCTCTCCAAATAAGCCTATCTATCTTACTCACAAAGGATATTTTGTTAAACCAGCTATGCAATAGCTACCTTCTTAATGCTGTATTTACGAACTTGCAGCTTGTACTTAGATAAATTATGGGGTTTATAACATAATATACTTTTGGGGGATCTGTACATTAATAATTCAAATGAGATGCTTATTAAATACATACAATTGTGACATAAATGTTTTAGTCATGTTCACATGTTCCAGGCATGACCAAACAGGAATCATGCACACGAACAGTTGTACTTCTAAGACGATGATACACAAACAGGCCAGGCTGGGCTACCTCGCCTTCAGTTCCCTCTGCAGTAGTGGAGAAGGAGCCTTCTCCAGGAGCGAAACACCTCCCTAAGAGTTGGGTTTTTTGTTGCCAGCTACTGTGCAGAGATTCACAGGCAAAGGTTTGAACAACTGGAAGTGCATCTTGGGAAATGTGGCGTCCCCTTTGGGATGTCCCCGTTGAGATGCATCGGGGCAGGTCAGGGCTAGCACGACTCCATCTCACGTGAACCATTCATGCAGCAGAGCTTCTTCGTCAGCAGACCTGTTTCCCATCACCATGCTGGAGCGGTCGCTCGCTGCAGCCTAGGGGAAAAGGTTCTGTGACTCGGATCAGCAAGTGACGTGTTTCTGCAGGACCCAAAGACATCCATGGCAGAAACACGACCAGCCTTGTGCGGTCTTCGGAGGGTGGGTGGAGGAGGGGGATGGCAATTCCTGCCCTACATTTACGCCCAATCTGTGTGCAGATACCTTTTTTTTTTTCCATTTATATAGTACGGAAATGTATTAAACTCAGCAAGTGTTCAGATACTGTGTGATATAAGAACTCCAAGAGCACAGATCCTTTCAGGGTGGTGATGGGAATACCATGACGTAAAAAGACAACATCACATACTTACACAACATATGCACCAAACACTTGAGAGAGCTCCCACCTCCTCGGGTAGCAGGTCAGCCACCACTCCGCTCCCAGAGCACGGGATGCTCAGACACCTCTACAGCTCTGCACGATGGACGGGCTACGCTGACTAACCTTCCCCAGGAAAGCCTCACCAGGAGCCTCTTTGTCCTCTCCTCCCCCCCTCTAAGTATATTTCTGAAAGAAAAAACAGCCATGAAAAAGCTATTTGCATAAATATCGTAACTTTTATTGTTCTGTTCACAGTTTTTGGAGAAACATTCCTAAATTACACAGCTGTTTTCTCTCAAGAATTTGTGCCTTTTCCAATTTGAATATGCCTGGCTTCGACTGCCAGTTAGTGATTCTTGTTGTGTTGCTCTTTTTAAGATCAGAGAGCTGCAGTGTTCAGTATTTTCTCCCCGTGAAGGTACTTGTGCACTGTAATCAAGACATTCTCCGTTTTGGTAGATAAACTCAGCCAACTGAGTTTTCTCTCTCACCCTCTCTAACGCATTTTCACACTCCACCAGTAATTTTTGAATCTTTTTTTTGCATCCATTCCAATTACTCAGCTACTCTTTTAAAATGTAAATATCCAAACTGCATCCAAAATTCCCACCTCTCACAGCTGAGACATGCAGAAGTATAATCACTTACTGCGAACGGTAATTAAAAACAAGAACACATTCCTATTCATTAGTCCTTCACCCTGGGACTGCACTGGGAACGCACGTGGAGCTCTTACTCACTCTGGTCCCAAGTATGAATATTTTTGCCATGTTAACATTGGTTTTGTATCTGTTTTCACCGCTGATCTGGAACCGCTGAACCATACTGGGTCCCAGCAGAACCCCTCCACGAGCACCCCGATCTCATCATGGTTCTTTTTGAACAACCTTCTAAAAGGTCAGAGGTCAGAAAACGCCAAGCTTTGCAGGGGCCCAGATACACTTGTTTCACTCTAATCCCAAAGAAAACTGAAAAACAACGAAGTGACTTACATCACGTTCCTCCATTCACATTCATCTCCTTTTCCATCCCCTGCTGGCAATGCCACACCAGCCAAGCACTTCAGCTGTCCTGTCCCGATTGCCATCCTTCTCGTCAGCAGGTCAGGGATTGCCCCAGGCAGCTCCCCCTGAAGTACTGACACAAGGTTTCTAGACCTACTGAATTCAAAAATGTTAATTTTTAATATTATGGGTTGCTAACGAATGGCATCACCTTTCCAGTTGCCTTACATCATCACTATCAGTTTTACTGCCTGCACCTGGTCATGGTCCTTATCCTACCACACCGAATTCACAGAACCACAGAATGGTTTGGGTTGGAAGGGACCTAAAGATCATTGAGTCCCCCCCCCCTGCCATGGGCAGGGACACCTCCCACCAGCCCAGGTTGCTCAAAGCCTCATCCAGCCTGGCCTTGAACCCCTCCAGGGATGGGGCATCCACAGCTCCCCTGGGCAACCTGGGCCACTGCCTCACCCCCCACACAGTGAAGAATTTCTTCCTAATTTCCTCTAACTTCAACTCTATCGCCCTCTCCAAGCACTCCAACCCATACGTTTTTCTTTTCCTTTGGCTATAGCTTTCCTTATTCATTTTCTGCACTTCATAACTCTCATTTTGAGTTGATTGCTGTCTGCTTCCCTTTTTCTTATTTGTTTTATATTACTTTACATCTAATTTTTCCCTTCATTTCATCACTGAAACAGGATGGGCAGTTAGCCAAAGTCATCCCCCTTCTTGATTGCAAAATTGTTGGGGTTTTGCCCATTTAATAGCTTTCACTTAGGTGCCAATTCTAATTCAGTTTTCCATTCAATTTCTTCTTCGTTACCAGATTTGATATAAAATTTGCTCAGCTATGCCCTTTTGAGGCACCAGTTCCATTTATTAGCAGTTGCATGGCTGTACTCCCAGCCTGAATGTGATGAGGATTCCACAGGAACCACTCGCTCCTAGTTCTGCGATTCATTGATCTTTATCTGACATGAACAAGACAAAACCAAATAACTTCATGTTTCATGTCTAACACTGTATTAGAACAGGTCTAGGACACAGACAACAAACATTAGTCCTGACTACTGGATTCCTTTCCACTGTAAAATAAATGCATGTATGCCTTTTTATTCTACCTGTGAAGAAAAAGCAAGCTAGCAGACGCACTGGCAGGTTAGTACCAGCTGAAAGTCAGTGGTAACGGGCACATGTGTCTTGGAAGACTCTTCTCCATTCACTTCTTATGTAATACTTCTCAAGAGTTTAATCATTTTTTTAACCACTCCAAAAATGAGAGAAAAAGAAAACAAAAATTTAAACACTCTATTTACTAGCTTTCTGCACTGGTCTAGACGTGAAAGTCTCTGATACCTTCTTTAATATCATAAGCTACTCAGACAAGTTGCCTTTGCAAATTTCTGCCTCTCTAGCAGGCACAAAAATTCAAAACACAAGACGAGTTTGCCAGCCAAATGCAGTCATGGGTCTGATCTCTTCACGGCTCAGTTAACGTAACTTCTTTTTCCAATCAGCCATCCCCATGCCCCTCTGTTTCAAGTGCCTTAGAATGTATTTTGCATTCTATAGTCCACGAACAATTCTTAAACAACACACAAAATAGTTTTAAACCACTTTTGGATATGTGAGCAGCACTGAGCTAGTGCTTCATTTGATGAGCAATCCCCACGGAACAGAAAAGCACGCCAGCTACTATCAATAAATACCTGCATTGAAACAGCAGGAAAAAAACTGGAGACGGAAAGGAGATGGTTGACCAGACCCATTGCTCCACACTCGACATCCAGTGAAGAGGAACAGATTTGGGGAAAGGCACCTGGGAGCAGAGCTGGACGTGCCGAGGGAACGCGCTGCCGGGCAGCCCCAGCGTGCTC